CTCATACTGAGTTGCTCCCACAGTGCAGAGCAGTAACAGAGACCAGAACCAAAGCTCATCCATCATGCCCTACTGGAAGAAACTATATGAGTGTGTTTGAGATAACAAATTGATTCATTAAAATTAAGCATTTTAAAGTTATTACATATTTACCAGTATTGTTAGGATTTAGAGCTGTTGACGCACCAAGAAAGAAAGAAGCGATTAACTGTGTTCACACTTTGGGGATTTCCATTCACTGCATTAGGCTCACGGATTCTGAGGAAAAATGTCAGATTGCACTGTGTTAACGTAAGAGTTACCAAAAAACCCTCACTTCAGGCCAGATCTCTCTTGTGGTAATGCTGAAATACTGTGAAGCAGGTGGCGGAATACAATTTGGAAAGGAGATGGCTCTAAGAGTTAGGAATCATGGGGAAACTGGGGTGAAACTCCCCACCTTTGTCTATTTTCATTATTTAAAAAAACACATCAAAGGCGAGATCCTTACCTGCCATGACTCACTGGTGTTACAGAAGGAGGCTGCCTATGAAGTGGGGAGAGGAGGGGACCTAGGCATTGCAATCGCATAAAAAACCACCACGGGTGCTGGGGGCAGGGAAAGCATTTGGGCTTGGGGGTCTCCACTTGCCAGGCAGTCCCTGGGGCTCAGGCATGGGGCCAAAACAGCTTCTCCCCCATTTGTCTGCACCTGCCCTGGGCTTGGCAGAGAGCATCTCCTCCATAACGTGTGTCTCTCTCCTGGGTTTGGGCTTGGTTTCTCAGCATGACGGAGCAGAGGGATGTAGTCATCCGAACAGTTGCTTTGTACTCTTGGACTGTTTGAACTGGAAGTTGTGCTGTCAACCCCTCCCACAGAGCAGGCTGTGTGTGCCCCAAGTAACGGGGGAGAGTGAGGGGGAAGAAGGCCAAGCAGAAACGGTGACTTCCAGTTCCATGGGGTCAGGCAAGAAAGACTGAGGTTTCAGAGGGAGTTACAAAAGGGTCAGAGGAAATAACCTCAAGGTACAGACTGGGGAAGGGTCTGATGATTCGAAGAAATTTGGGTTTATTATGCTTTATTGTGATTCTTGTCATGGTAGCAGGTCTGCATAAGCCATGGATACGTGTGAAAAGCACCACCATGGTGCTGCACCCCTTAAAACTCTGCCTGGCTGTAGGCAGTGATACTGGCAAATTTAAAGTGTGTAACTATTGCTACAGGGTAGTGTATGATTATTAGAAACGAAAAATACGCCAGCTCCTGATTTCAGGGTTGGTGTTGGGGCCTGTGGCCCCTGGGGGCTTGGGGAACAAAGATGGGCACCGTCGGATTTCAGTCAGGAGAGCAGCGTGTGAGGGCTGGCTGGACACATGGCCAGCTCAGGGCTCATGCACTTCAGGACTGGGCTGGTGAGCATGTCTTCAAGTCCTGGAAATGTATCTTGTAGGAAATTCTCCATCCTTTAGCTCAGGCACATTGTTTCTCCTCCCAGACTTTTCATGAACGCAATTGTGCACTCCTTGTTGAGGCTACTCCTCAGCCCCATTTCGGTGCTTTGTACACAGGGCTCTCCAGCTGCTGATGTTTTATATGAATACATCCCCAGTTTGCAGGCAACCCCCCGTCAAAACAGTGACATGGCTACTCCAGTTCATGGTTGTTTTTCAAAAATTTGAATCTGGGAGGTGAAGGAGCTGCTGTTCAGACACACAGACCAGGCTTCCTCGAAACATGCATATGGCTCCTTGCTGGAAATGGCCATCCTGACCCCTGCAGTGTAGGGATGCTGGTATTAAATACTCCCACTTGGAAGGTGAATGTACTTTCATTGCTGTCTCCCAAGGTTTGTTTTTTTTCACCCTCTGAACTGGTGCTAAGTAACCCATTACTATTCAAAACGAGTTTTGAGTAGGGGTTAAAATATTGCATTTGTCTTAAAACGAGAGAACTACAGAGCTGTCAGGTGACAAAAATAGACAAACCCCTAATATTTTGAAAATACGTCCTTTGGTATGCTGTTTATGTAAGCAGGTGTCACCAGAACATCATGGGCATTTTATTGCCATAGACATTAGTGAAATCGGTGCATGATAAACACAAGCAAATACTTATCAGTATTTTTCATGAGAGTAAGCCTTGAACTAGGTATTGAATAGTAAAAAGGAAATAATTTATAGAAAATGTATGGAACACGCCTGTGTAGTCAGTTTGAATGTATAATATTACCTAAGTTACCTGCAAAAATCTGCAATTTTTTGTTGACCTAATTATGTAAATCATGACTTCTAAATGTCTGTAGTATTACATATCTGTAGCTGCATGTATTTAAAAGGTCAATCCTACCTGTAAAATAAATCACTGTGTTAAAAGTATATAATGTAGCCAGGGTAAGATAAAACATTGTCTTTTCTTGTTTAGCCAGTGTAATTTTGTAGTAGAATTTAGAAAATATTTATAAAAATTACTATCCTAAGAACTGACATTCTGCTTACATAACATTCCATCTATATTCTGCAAGATAATGATCTAGAATGGATTTATATTTATCAGTCCTATAGTAATACAGAACAAAAATAAGATTTTTTTTCTTTAATATTTTTTATGATCCTGGGGAATTTTAATGAGATAACCATGGGGAAAGTGATGCTGGACAATAAGTTAGATCCTAAAAAGTTGTGTAGTAGCCTTGAGAAAATGTAATTCTGCATGGTCTGAGGCTTACTGGATTTGTACATGCTTCATTACTCTGTGGGAACCCAGCCACTCTGGTAATAATTCCACCAGGTTCCGGCCTCCATGGTGGATTAATAGGTGCTCTAAGTGAAGGTAACTTCAAGAAGCAGAAGCCATAGGATGCTGTTCTCTGCCACTGCTGCCTTAACAGCTTCTCAGTTTTGTGTTGCTGATTTAAAACAAGAGTTCAAAAATTTGCCACATGATGGCACCAGGAAAGAAGAGAAAATAATTCCTGGGACAGCTGCACGGCAGACTGCACAGCTGTCAGCTGCACAGATGTAGCTGCACAGTGATGTGCAAATGGTAATAGCTTGTGCAACTGATGATGGCATGATGATGGTTCCTACAGAGTACAAGTATACTGACCCTGTAAGTATGTAACTCCATAACTTAATCTTCATTTCAAATTTGTCATTCATATTGGACCAGATCACAGCCTTTCCTTCTTTTTATTTACCTTCTTTAGTGATCTATACACAGAATTTCCCAGGGTCCTTGGTTCTCTGTAAGTCTGTAGACTGCTGAGATATGAAACTTCTCGTGGCACGGCACCTGACTCTTGGGTTTTGCCTCACTTTTTCCACAGAGGATAAGTACAGCGAGCGGAGATGGCCGGCATTATTGCTACCCACACTTTACATGTGCAGTGGACACAGAAAATATCCGCAGAGTGTTCAACGACTGTCGAGACATCATTCAAAGGATGCATCTCCGCCAGTACGAACTCTTGTGAGGGGGATCACCGTGGAACCTGTGGTTTTAAATTCTTTGCTCCTTACTCTTTCTCTTGATACTACCCCACACAGGGTGGAAGAATATACTATAGAAATGTCAGTCTCTTCACTTTGTTTACTTTAATTATTTAACCTTAAAGCTGATTTGAAGCAAGTTTGGGTTATTTTTCCTTCATGCTTTTTGGGACTATTTTTGTGCTTTATTTTGACATGCCACTTCTTCGTCATTCCACTAAGCCCCTCGGCTACCTCTGTTCCCTTAGGTTTTGTTTTTTTTAAACTGAACGTGACCTGCTAAATTTTTTCCAGCAGGTTAACCTCAGTTCAAACTGGTATGTCAGCTGGATGACACTAAAGTCATACCTATCCCTCTGTGTGGGTTTCCTTTTGAACATGACATTGAAGAGTACTTGATGGTTGAAAAAAAAAGATTAATGCACTTTGTATCAGGTTATTAAATACTGTTGAGGAAGTAGACACACAATGTAGCAGCACCACAATATTTATTACTCTGTCACAGTTTTTAGCATTTCTGAGTTGCAGGTCAACTGATAAAGTGACCTCCTCTTTTAAGCCGTTACTGGCACAGGAAGTAGAGTAGATAATGAGAGGAACAGTGAAGACAAAGCAATTTTTCTGGGGTTTTGGAGCTAAGTGTCTCTGCACACCTCAGGCATTTGAATTACAGCTACTTTTCAGCCTGTTGCATCTAGGCAGAAAATTTACCACCCTCACTTATGTTATTTGTGCTGTCCACAAATGATCCTTTTAGTTCCGATCATTCTTGGACAACAGTCCTCTCCCTATATATATTTTTTTTTGTTTTATTGCTGGTTTATTATATTGTACAGACTGTAAAATGTAATATTATTTTGTACAACTTTATTGAAGAAAAATACTTGTAGAAGATCTTTGTGCCTTGATTATGGCTGTACCTGTAAAATGAGCTAAGATGTAAGTATGTTTTTGATTGCGCTGTACAGCTTGATGTCAACCTTACCTGCAGCAGTGACTGGAGGTAAGAACTTTATCTGTAGAGTTTAGGGGTTTTTTTCTGGTTTATATAAAAATGCTCTTTAGTATAAAAATTATAAATTATGCAAATTAACCACTTACCTTTCCAAGTAAGGTATTACAGTCACCGGATGTTGCAGCAAACATGCCTTTCTCTTTTGAAGTCTCAGCTTTAAAACATTGGAATTCATTCAAGTGTCCAAATTGCAACCTGGTGTTGTTTTAATGGGAACCAAGGATTTAGTTTTCTTTTTCTTGTTTTTTTCTTTTTTTTTTTTTTGTCCTTTATATTTAGAAAATATGTTTGGTAATTCTTTGGTCATTCATAGAACTTCACAATTGCACAGACCGATTGTGAATGTGTAAAGCACCATTATATAGAGCTCTTCAATCTTTGTACCAACAGCGGCTTTCATTGTGCAAGTAAATAGCAAGAAAGAAGATAAGAAAAAAAAAAAAAAGGTGTATAAACCCTTGTGTCTGGCCTAAGAGAATTACAAGATGACATTTTTATTTCTCTTTTAATAAAGAGACACATTAGAAAATTGTTTTATTTTAAATATTGTAGAATCAAAATGTGTGAATATTTCTCAAACTTGAATAATTTATGCAAATGACATTCTCAAAACAAGTTGTGGTACAGTACAATATATAAAAAGCAAGAATTGCTGTAGCAATAAGGCATGTCCTTTTTAGTAACTATAACACTGCTTTATATTTTATACATAGGTGTTTTATGTCTGTGACTATATACTTTTCCTGTGTCCAAGATAACCTGTACAAATGTCTAAAATTACAGTTGCAATAACAGAAACCTAGAGAAGTGTTAGACTACATTACTTTTAAGAGTGTTTTACCACACTTTGGACCATTTTCCCCACTCCATTTTAAATTTAGGGAGAGATTAAGAGCTAACACAGTCCCCACACTGGCATAAAAATTAGTAGGTTTTATTAACTTTTTACTGTAAGTATCATTATTAGTTATAAACCCCAATCAGACCTCTTTTTAAATTCAGACTACAGACCAGTTGAGAACTTGTTTCTAGTTGAATATAAGACAGTCTCATTTTAGATATTATAATATGACCATTTCCTCTTCCCAGAAATGCGTTATGTTCAATTTAGTTATATTTCCCAAAAAGTGAAAGGCTGGGTGGAAAAAGCTAATAGTAAACGAAATTCCCAAAATTCTCTCACTTCTTTCCCATGCCAAAGAAAGTAATAGAGTGAATAACAAAAGATAAGTCTTTTTTTAAAACTATCCTCAGCCCTGGAGTTCAGGTTACAGCTCCCAGCCTCTGCAGGAACATCAGCAGGAAAACTGGTTCTGGTGTGAAATAGTCCCTCTGTTTCTTCCAGGGCGGGTGGGGAGCAGCAGTAGGTTTGTCCACCTTCCTTCACACAGTGAAGACACTGAGCTCAGATTTTATCTTCTCCATGCTGCCCCCCCGGGCTGGGGCCTGTGGCACAGCTGGTGGCCTCGGCCTCTCGTGCAGTTCCAAATGTGACATTTACAACAAAGTTGACAGGACTTGGTGCCCTGCAGGAATCTAAAATAACGCGCACTCCTATCCCTATCTGTCCGCAGACTGAGGGCTGAGGCATAGGATAATGTTACTGCAGCTGTATTTGACCTCCCTTCTCACAGGAGATCGGCAACTGGAGGGCCCCTCACCACACAGATCTCTGGGATGCAATAGGGCCCTCTTTTTTTAAGCTGATCATAGCACATCTCTTTGAAAATAGCAGCTTGAGGTGTCACCCTAATTTTTTTTAAGCAGGTTTTAAGTGTGTATCAGCAAACTGGATCCACGAGCTTCTTCCCCTTTGTTGTCTGGTAGACGATAACTGCAAATTACAGTCAGCTAACAATTTACTGTGTCAGGAACCAGAAGATCTCTTGTCCCAAACCACAGTCCCCTTACATATGACACCCTAAAAAGGTTATGGAAATCCGCATCTCTCAGTGCTGATGCGTCTAGTTTCTGCCTGACCCTAGAACTCAAGCGTGACATTAGAAGGGCCATGCAGCAATAAAACAGAGAAACGTTTCCAGTTTGCAGGATTCAGCCTCCACCAGGGTAAGACACTAGTGCAGACAAGTGATGAGGCTATAGGATTTACATAATGTACAGTTACACTTTTAATATACATATTTGATACAAAAATTATAGCAGGAAAAGGACTCATTTGATTGTCGAATACAGTATTTTTGTACAGCATGAAACGTTCATTTCAGTTGATTATTTATCCTGTAGTAGTCATATCAGCTGTATAGGACTTCTATGGTATGTGTAAATGCAACCTGCCTTCAGACTAGCAATCAAATTAGGTCATTTGCTGGCATGAATATAGTCTGATGTTTGACTGTTCTCAGCTTTGGTATTTCAGTGACTGAATGCAGATGTCTGGCTCTTCATACTGCTTTATGCTTACTGATTAAACGCTGAGCAAAATAAAACGGTGGAGTGAGAAGCTGAACATGAGCTAGTATCAGGATCACAAACAGAGCACCTGCTGCACAGTATATAGTAAAGACTCTGCTCTCATATGGAAGGAAGCATTTTTGGAGGGAGAAGTCAGTTGGTGTTATGCTGCCCTGAAAAAGAAATGCAGACTGTCACTTTGCTGTGTTACAGTGGGTTCTGAATCAGGAGTAAAACACCACGGCTGTCAGACCTCCAATTTCTAAATCCTATGTTGGGTGGCAGGGGTTGGGGCCAGTTTCCTAGTACCAGTGCCTTCTCCAGGGGGCTGAAGAGTCCGTACCTTGCGGTGCTGGGCACTAACTGGAATATTCACCAGGCCAACACTAGCCCAGAGGCCAATCCTCCCATCTATCGTAAATAGAGACCTGGGCTCCTCATCTGATTTGCCCTCAAGAGAAGCCTAACTTTAGCTGCTGTAAATCCACCTGGAAGGAGCCTTTCCAAGCTAAAGTTAGGTTTTGTGAATGTGCCCCTTCCTCCTCCCGAACCCTTCTCCTACCCAGTACATGCTGCGAAAAAAAAAACCACGTTGGCTAATCCAAATTATGAACGTGAACTTCAGCAACAAAGAACTTCGTTGGGTTTTGGCTTGACTTTGCAGTTCAAATTAAAGTTTACAATGGACCGAGGCTGAGGAGTTAAAACAGTAGTGAAGATGATGCAACTTTAATTAGCCAACCTCTCGTTTTGCAGTGAAGATGCACTGTCTGGCATGTGCAGAGAATGTGTGTAGTTTGAAGGCAGCTACTCTCAGGAATATGGAATAAACAGAACTACTTTCAACAACAAATATTAACAGTTGCATAAAATGAATTTAGAAGTTTGGGGTTATCTGTGTATTAAGCAGCCTAAACTCAACACTGGTAAAAAAATACATGAAGGATTCCCCCCCCTAAGTCACAGACTACTCTGTAAACAGATTGTAGGTTTTGCTTCTTACTCCAAGTTTTTAGGAGTTCTGTTTTGTTTTTGAACTGGGGAACTAATTGATTTACCTCTAAGGATATACTGAGCACTGGAACCGCCTGCACAAGCATAACCAACACACTGTATAAAATGTGAATTGGCAATGAGGAGGCAGATTGTGGGCACGTCACAAACGCTGTCACTGCGTGAAGCGGTTAATGCACAAGTCTGAAAACCATCATCACCCTGCAAAAGAGTCTGAGGTGGATACAGTCTTGTTTTCACAGTTGGTAAATCAACCAAGTCAAACTAGTCCTTCTACTGTTCAGTGCACAATACTGATTTTTACAAGTCAGTAGTTTACAATGCACCCTCTTTATAAGAAAATGTTAGATGCTTGTACCCAGATACTAATTAGGTCTTCAACAGCATTGCTTTGTACCACACAGAACATGTGGCTCCCACAGATGTACTTTATAAAGTGGATGCAGTGTACTGAGTGGGTTGGGTGGGTAGGCAATTTTTTTTATTATTTTTTTCGTTTTTACAGGTAGAATCAGTTTTAAAATATAGCTGACTGCCATGTTGATTTATTTATGAAAGTTATCTGACAAAAATAAAAAAAAAAATTAAAACTTACCATGATGAAACTAGGATTGTTTCTATTCCTCCAGCTGAATGACGGGACGCTGATTTCTGGAATTTTCCCTGCATGCAGCACTTCACAAGCACTGTGTGTGTGCCCACTGAGAATCAAACGGGGATGAAACCACCATATCAGCTAGAACACAAAATGATAAAGCACAAAACTTAAATCACAGCTAAAAAAAAATTTAACTTACAAATTTCTTTTTTTTTTAATTCAAACAGAGTGAATTTATGGCAATTCTAATATGGTTACGAAGTGTTTTATGTAAAGTTACGTTTTCCAGTAAGAATGTGTTGGTATTGCAATATTAATCACACCCATTTGGCCCTGATAGCAAATACTGGGCTTTTAATTTTTTGGCCATACACATCAGAAGAATAAAGGCAATATGTTGTTGCTATCACAGGTAGAAAAACTTTGGGTTTAATAAAGCAATGCTATTTTCTTGTCTAAGGAAGAACTTTGTACTGACAGTCTTGAGTGAAGACATTTGTGCAGAAGGAAACAACTACTGACCATTAGGTTTTTAGGGAATGCTTTATCTTTACATTTTCTTGCAGTTACTAATTCAGCAAAAACAATGCTTTCAAAGTGTTGGAAAACTGTGTCTTTCTACCAGCTTTGTCAGCAATCTATACAGTACAGAAAGGACAAAATGGTAAAGTGGAGGTATCAGCATGCTCTTCAGGAGACTTGAGAGTGTTGGGACTTACGACCTGTGCCTGGGAACCCAGCAGGATCAAGGTCATGATCGTGATGATCCTCAGAGGAGCCGCTCTAACAAGCAGCCTCTCACAGACCTCATTAGAGCAGGAGCAGGTGTGGTCAGTTTGTCCCAGCTAACAGCCTTACCACAAGTTTTTAATCTATTTATAGCTACACTGGTGTTCCCCTCCCACCTACCCACCAGTACTCAAGTTCCCAATAAATCAAACCTTTTGTGATGCCTCTTGAGACAGTACATCATACTTTTCTTTAAAGGGGGTGTTCTTCTCCTCTGGAGGAGCAGAATCTTCTCCACTGCATTCAGCATCACTTTTCCGATAGAGAGGGTAATGCTGGGAATAATTAAAAGAAAGGACCAGTTGTTAATGATCCAGCCTTTCTGGAAGAGTAACAAATACACAAAAACCCCATGTCAACATGTTGCCTCCCCCGCCCCTCCCCCACCTCTAACACACCTGTAAAAGGATGGGTTCTGAAGCTGGGAGCTTTTCCACACCACTGCATCTTTTGTTGGAATGATCTGGTTCCTGTGAATAAAATTAGTCCATAGAAGGGGTGAAGGCAATCAAACAGTAGCTAGGTTTCAAAGGGTTGGAGGGGGGTGGTTGTTGGCCTTTTTTTTTTTTTTTTTAAGGGAAAGCAGTTTCAGCTGAGAGTGTGGTGTTTAGGTACTATCCACTGTATGAGCTTCCGAGAGTCTCCGCTGTGGAGTGATGTAATTCCCCGTTCTGTACATGCTGTAAATACGGCTGCCCTCTTTCTGAACACAGAAAGCAACAGCAGGATCTCACTGCACAAAGGCAAAAACCTTTGGGGGCAGCCCGGGAGAGACAGTCTGCCAGTTTTTCCACTGGGACCTGGTTTCCTGATTGACTGCCAGCCCCCTCGGTCATGCTGCCCACTATGCATCCAGTAGGCCTATGAGAAGGGGAGGAGGGATGAAGTACAAGAAGCAATTGGATTGGATGAAAAAATAATACAATTAAAACATTACTAGGCTATCAAGGCAGGACTGCAATAGAATCAGGAAACTAAAATAATAGGCTAGCTTGAAGGCTATAAAACAGAATAATATGCATAAATAGAAATGCATGACTATATATTTTAAAGGGAGGGTTACAGAACTTCTGCCTTTTTTTGGAACAGAGGAAATGACACCCTCTGTTGGCAACACTGACAAGGGAATTAACACGTTAGTGCAAAGCAACACAGTTAAGTAAAAATGGTAAGAGAGAAATGAGGAAAAAGATTTGCTAACAAGTTGCAATATGAATTGAAAGCAGATTTTTTTCAGAAGAGTCTTGGTTAGCCTGACTATTGCTACAGTATCAGTATTGCCACTGTGGTAGCTGTGTAGCAGCACTGTCCCGTTGCTGGCTGTAATCAGATCTTTAATATAAACTCTTACCTGCAGGGAGCAATTCAGTTTGTGAGAAAGCGCCACAAGCTTTGCCTCTGAGGTACTGCAGACGGCACAGCCATCACCCTCCATGGCTACACTGTTCACCAGGACAAAGCTGGAAAAGACCAGGGGGTGGGTGAAGAGAAGTGGGGAGGGCAGGAAAGCATTTGTTGCTCATGCACACACACTGGATAAACTTTATTTTATAAAATGCAAGTGTTCGAAAGTTGGACACAGCTCAACAAAACAGCAGAACGTAACAGCTTCCGAAATCTCATGCTATAAATCCTCCTCTGAGTATCTGCACTGTAGCCATTTCTCTGTCTGGTAGACTGCTTTATAATCAGTTCTTAATTAGGTGGCACAGTATACCTTATGCTTCATGTTTACATGTCAAGATATATTTTAACAGATATTCAAGTGGTATTCTAGTGGAATGTTAGAAGTTCGTCACTAAGCTGAATTCTAACAGAAAGGAGAACTCTCTTCTCTTCTCCACACACACTTTAGACCTCAGAGACAGAATTTTAGACATTCAGTTTCTTCAGAACAACTGAAAAGCAAAACAACACTGCATTTGGCTGGCTACCCTGAACAAAGGTAGTTTCCTACTTTTCAGTGTCTCACACAGAAAACAGGATTGTGTTTGTAATAGGAGGTTTCCCTGTAGATTTCAAATCACCTTTGAACTTCTGCCACAAGATTCATACCCATTTAATCACACACTCAGGATCTGAGATACATTCCAGTTCAATTCAGTATCTTTTACAGACCCAAATGAGCTGAATGCCTTCACTTACGAGATACTAGGCAATACAAAAAAAAATTTATTCTCTTTTAGCAAATTAAGCTGCTTGTAAACTATTTTACAACAAATCTGTGGTGTATCTCAGAACTTTTCATTAACAGTGCAGCTTATTTCAGTTAATGAACATGATACCAGACATAAAGACTGCAACTACATGCACTGCTGTGTTTTATCAAAGGGGACATGGAGATGTTCCTTAATAATTATTTTTACAACAGCTGAAATACATATCCAGAGGACCCACATCTGCAGAGCATGCATGAAGCTCATAGATCCTCCTAAAATAGACAGAGCCATTTCTAGACCTGTTCAGAATATTTTTAACATTTGAACAATTAAGGGAACTGGTGTAAACCTGTAGGTTTTGAATCTCACATTTACACGAGTGGTTACAACCCCGTGGCACACGAGCTGAACGCAGAGTGGCAAGGGGCCTCCCCTTCATATATCTGAGCTTTAAAGGCATACACCTTTCCACAAAACCACTACTGGTTTCCCTCACTGAATTCCTGCATGGTATCTAAAGGTAACAGGGCACACAGCAGACAACTGCAGCCACGGACACACATCTGTGAGAACGAACTCTGTAACAAGCTCTACTCCAAGCCAAAACCAGCTTGTGCATTATTACCCCACCCTGTGGAAAACCGTGGAAAAGCAACTGCTATGTTCCCAAATTCCTCAAACGAGTTAAGTTCTGCAGACTAAAGAAGTTATTAAAATTAATGAAACTCTTAATTTGTAAACACAGAGGAGGTTGGTTTGTGTTTCTTTATGAATCCTTTTGTCGTGTTTACAGCCATGGCTCATTACCAGCTGCAAGGAAGTATAAAGGCAAACCAGAGAAATGGATTCTGGCTCCACAGTACTTTTCCATTTAAAAGGAAATGGTTACAATTTACCCAGCTCAAAGTACAGCTTCCACTCCATATCAAACTACAGGTTTGTACAAAGTGTTTCGGGTTTAACATAGCGTAAGGTAGATGATTAAAAAGGCTCTAAGTTAAGCATTCCCATACTATTTCATTAGAAATTCCACTTCCGGTTTTTCATCACTGATCTGATAGCTCAGTAATCACTGCTCTAAACATTGAAAAAAAAATTTAAATATACTCACTTTACTCCTTTCCGTGTTATTAGCTTTCCTGAAGTCAAGTTGAAAACCTTTTCAAATCGATTTACCTTGTAAGTAGTCATTCTGTGTCACAGAGCAAAAATACAGCTGAGGTAAGAAACTGCCATTGGAACTCGTCCGACACAGTTGCTTTACAGGTTGTTGGCCATTCATTCATCTTGCTGCTCCATTATCCAGCTCACACATTCATTCAGCAAACTCACAGCGATGCTCTGACACCCCTCGTGTCCTCAGTCCCAGTCCCATCAGTGCATGCACAGCAGAACGAGGGCACTTACACTTTTCTGTGCTGAGATAACAGGAACGGAAACAACTCCCACTAAACACTTTTCTGACAAGGAGGCCCAGCACAAGGATTCCACTGCCAAAGCAGAAAGACCAGCTCTGAACAACTTCTCGTATGGTCAGAGAACCATAAAAGTAGCCTGAAGCCTGTTTTGTGCACAGGTGGGTGTCTTTTAAGGTCTTACCCTAAATTACAATCCTTTCTAATTTGATAATGATCAAAAACTTTCCGTATAACCACAAAACAGGTCACTCAGACACAAAACCAGCTACTGTATGCATGCTGACATTCATTCTTGGCACTTGGGTACTCCTTTCACTGACAAGACTTACTCGTAATGAAATCCAATGTCATGATTCCCAACGATGACCACTAGCTCAGTAGAAACTGGATACTTGAACATTTTCCGAAATCTCCTGACATCATCTGCCCATGCCTGCATGAAAACAAACAGTTTCAAAGGGGACCACTAGTACTGCAGTGGGTTTGCACAGCAAGGTTTTGTTACTGGGAGGCTGCAGCGGTGGCTTTTCTGGGAAGCTGTCAGAAGCTTCCCCTGTGTCCGACAGAGCCAATGCCAGCCGGCTCCAGGATGGAGCTGCCGGTGGCCAAGGCTGAGCCCATCAGTGACAGTGGCAACACCTCTGGGATAACAGTCAGGAAGGTGGAAAATAAACTGTGCAATGGCAGCCAGAGAGAGGAGTGAGAATATGTGAACAACAGCCCTGCTGGCACCAAGGGCACTGAAGAAGGAGGGGGAGGAGGTGCTCCAGGCACTGGAGCAGAGATTCCCCCATGGTGCAGACCACAGTGAGGCAGCCTGGCCTCCTGCAGCCCATGAAGGTCCAAAGAGGAGCAGAGATCCACCTGCAGCCCTTGGAGGACCCCAGGCTGGAGCAGGTGGATGCCTGAAGGAGGCTGTAACCCCATGGGAAGCCCATGCCAGAGCAGGGTCCTGGCAAAACCTGTGGTGAGAGGACCTCACACAGGACCAGGTTTGCTGGCAGGACTTGGGACCCTGCAGGGGACCCAGGCTGGAGTAGTCTGCTCCTGAAGAACTGCAGCCTGTGAAAGGGGCTCACATTGGAGAAGCTGTTGGACTGTCTCCCAAGGGAGAGACACCACACTGAATGGGGAAGAGGGTGAGGAGTACTCCTGAGGAGGAAGGAGCAGCAGAGACAACGTGTGATGAACTGACTGCAACGCCCATTCCCCGTCCTCCTGTGCTGCTGGGTGGATGAGAAAGAGAATCAGGAATGTCACTGAGCCCAGGAAGAAGGAAGGGATGGAGGGAAGGGGGTTTAAGATTTGGTTTTATTTTCTCAGTACCCTACTCTGACTTGATTAAATTATTTTTCCCGAGGTCTCTTTTGCCCATGAGGGTAGTTGTTGAGTGATCTCTCCCTGTCCTTACCTTGACCCAATGAGATCTTTCTTGTATTTTCTCTCCCCTGTTCAGGTGAGGAGGGGAGTGATAGAGCAGCTTTGGTGGGCACCTGGCATCCAGCCAGGGTCAGCCCATCACAACTACTTAATACAGAAGCACACACTGAGATGTTAACATTTTGTCAGTTTTGTATGAGGGGCAAAGTTGTCAAGATACTACCAAAAATGAACTCACATATCTAAAAGACTAGAAACTTCTACCAGCAACAGGACAACTGTAGCAATATTAAACAAAGCCTTGCATACCTAGTCTGCTTTCTTCTGTCATCCATTTCCTTCAAGAAATCCTCATTTTTTGAAATAAGAGAGCTGATGGTGTCATACCTGAGGTGAGCTCCATTTTCCTTCATCAAAGACATCTCCCAGAATAAAAACAATATCTGGTTGCAGTAACCATAAGGCAGTCTGGAAAGATCTCTCCATTTGCCATTCCCTGAAAGGAGAACAAAGAGTCAGTCATCACTGCCTAACCTCTGGACCCCCAGCTCTGAATACACAGACACAGCCTGGCCACGGGAAAGGAAAAATGACTTCCACACACTGAATTAGGAAAATATAATATGAAATTCAAACTAAATACTTAGAAATCAGGTTTAAGTACAGCAGGTGCATCTTACCTGGTGGGTAATTCTACCACAGTACAATCAGGACCAACACATGCAAGAAGCAATACCAGCTTGTTTATTTTTTCATTGCAATTCCATTAAACAGCAATTAATTACAACAGTGAATTGCTGTCTCATTATCTACTATTGAAAATACTAAAACCGGGATAGAGATTATTAAAAAATTAATAATTACCTTCTTAGCTTATCGAACCAATGTCCTTTGATTTCACCAAGTAGATGAGTATCAGCTAAAATCATGGCCTTTAGGACTGAAGCTGAAGTCTCTTTTTCACCCATTGGAGCTCCACCTTTCACTTCTGGCCATCGGCATTGAAAAATTACCACATAATAAATTAAAAATTCACAAAATATGAACACTGAGCTGACAAAGCCCACAAGTTTCAGCAGAAAATAGAGCCTCTTCTTCACAGGAAGATTCTTCACAGTGGTCGAGCTAGAGCTCAGCATTGCAGTACCAGCATAAGACTCAATGGCTCAGTTCTCCTCTCTCGGATGAAAACAGCTAGGAATTGTCATAGGATCACGTTGGGTGTTTTGTCAGTACAAAATCCCTGTGGAGAACATACAAAATAAAATATTCATTAAGTCAGCATTCCCTGGGGAAAACTACCATGCAAGGCCTACAGTGTTAGCTTCTTGTCACCCTGAAAGATTCGGGAATGTGTAATTGGCCTAAAAAGCAAAGTTGGTCTTTTCCTTCAGGTACACAGCCAGCCACGCCACTGAGCACAGGACTGCACTCTCTCCTACCAGGACCAAGGAAATCACTTTAAAGCCAATTCCTTTTAAAGGAATCTTGGTGCATGATGCTTTTTTTTAGAACTATACAGTGAAAAAACTGTGACAAGGGGTCAAAGACAGGTAAAGACAGAGCTTAGCTTGAACAGCAGCAGCAACACCACCAAAAAATTCATATAGAATCATTTAGGTTCAAAAGACCTCTAAAACTGAGTCCAGCCCTTAACCCAGCACTGCCAAGTCCCTCACTAAACCATGTCCCTGGACGCCACATCCACACATCCTTTAAATACCTCCAGGGATGGTGACTCACTGGGCAGCCTGTTCCAATACGGGACAACTCTTCCAGTGAAGAAATTTTTCCTGATGTCCAATCTAAACCTCCCCTAGTCAGACATAAGGCTGCTTCCTCTTGTCCTGTCACTTGTTAATCAGGAGAAGAGACCAACACCTACCTGGCTACAACTTCAGGCAGTTATAGAGGGCAATAAGGTCTCCCCTCAGCCTCCTTTTCTCCAGACTAAACAACTCCTGGAGGGCACCTTCTGGCACACTCTTTAAAGGTAAATTGTGGCACAGGTCACGGTAAAAGGGACTCCAGGAGAGCTATAAAGATGTTACTTCACATGCTCATGGACAAAATTCTAGAGGAAACCACAAAATCTTGTCACCCACACAAGAATGGGATTGCAGTTTTGCTTTCTACAATAGAAGAATCCTAATGCAGGACTAGTGTACAGGACGTTAGCAATTACTGGACACAGTACTCAGTGATTAGCAGCCCATGTGCATTTGAATTGACTAAATCTGATTAAAACTGTGAATATTCAGTGCCTTTGAATCTTAAGACCTGAAGTGTTAGGAACATTAGGACAAAATTACAGAGCCACACAAAACTGGATCTTTCTAAAGTTCTGGCCTCAGCTATATACAGAATACAGAATAAAGTTAAATTGCTTCACTGTCCCATGCACTAGCCCATGTGATTTATGTCTCATGGAAACTGAAAACTGACACATGACTATTACATTATTTTTCCAACCAAAACCTCTGTTTGATTATAGCCACTTATTTTCAAACACAAGCTTCCCATATCAGCACCACAAAGTACTTATTCGAGAAAAAAAACCATTAGACTGCATAATGAAATATTTCCAACATGCACCATCTAACATTAGCATGACTAATACTTAACTGCATGCAATTCAGTTCTATCTAAACTTGATTTAACTGGAGAAAGCCACTGGCCAGACATCACAATTCCACAATGCACTGGAACTACACATAAATGCTGATTAACTTTTTTAACATTCATCTCATCTGCACTGTAAATAGCAACCAAAATCAACAAGACCTCGTTTGTACATCTCACAACAAGGCAAGATTAAAGCAGAAGTATCTGGCAACCGACACAGCAACAAGGACAAAAGACAGGTAAATTCTTAACTAAACACACAAATTTATATGGCTTTATCCTGCACAAACTGCACCTACCCCAGAATTTGGAAGTAGACTTTGGTAGTCCTAGACAGTCTCCTCTTCCGACAAAAACAGCACTAATTTGAACAGAAATAGCCAGTAAGTGGTTTAACTTGCATCAAGCACGTCCAAAAGAAAAAATATCACATCTTCAAGAACAAAATGATTCCATCAAATGTGAGAGAAAAAACCCTGCAATCAGCAGAAAATAAAAATATCTTCAAGGCAAAACTGCATTTTCAAAAGTCACAAGCAGCAACTGCCACAATCAAAGCCACAAAGCCGGGTCATTCCCACATGTGCTCCCTCCTCCCATCATTTCTGCTGCTAATCGGTACTATTCTGGGAGCTGTGCCACACATGTGGAAGATGCCAGAGGTCTCCCATCAGCACCCTACACTTCCAGCGTTCCTGAGGGTGAAAGGAAAAATAGAAAGGGAAATTAAAAAAAAAAAAAAAAAAAAAAGAAATCACAGAAAGTCAGCGATGTAGAACGAGCTGAGAGGCAACTCCTGCTACTGGTTGAGAGAAATCCCTGCCCACCTCTCTCTGCCACCTGCCAGCCCATGGCTGCTCGCATTCCAGTGGAACCATTCACTCAGGAATGTGGCTGCACGGCTCCGCGCATCCCTGGGAAAGCGGTTTACTCGGAAACCAAGCACACGCAGCAGGGATCCGAACCTCACACACGGGGACCCAGGGACCGGAGAGCCACAGCCGCTCACACGTGACGGCGAGGCCAAAAGCGATGCTGCCAGGCTGCACACACGCTGCGAGATGGAGCCGTGGTTCTGCCTGTCACTGCACCCTGCGTTGCTACTCCTCCCCCTCACATGGCTCACTGGTTAAGATTAGACTAGAATCTGGCTTCCTAGAGCTTGAGGACCTTAGTTATGTGAAACGACTGGAAGGATTTCTCACTGTTTCTTGTTCTAAGTGTACGTGAGCGGCCTGATGCGAAAATGATTTTTAGAAGTGTTAAAAGCTCATCCCAAAGGTGAGATCAGTGTTTTCACCATATTAACTGCCTTTCAATTGTTTGGGCAGAGAACTTTATAATGAAAAAAATTGTGATCTTCAGTAGCTGGCAAACAACAATTTTTTATGCAGTCAATGTATACATCCTTTCAGCAGCGGAGACCCTGAACTTTTCCTCATCTGCATGTTTGAAGAACGATTCTGCACGACATTTAAAAATCAGCCTGTGGACAAGGGCAATTGCTGATTAATTTAACAACAGGACCAGAGATTAAACATGCTAGAAGTATAACTTTATACCACAAAACTGTGGGGGAAAATGCTCCAGTGATTAGCACCGATTCCTTCTCCAGCATTCATGTCTATTTTGCTTATTAACAAGTTAGAAACATTTTTGCACTTACAATTCTTCCATTATGCATGCTATTCTTCCTATTTTCTTCCATCAAGTTTACTGGCAATGCAGGCTTCTATCATGCCTCTTCTCTTTCCCTTTTCCATCTCTGTTCAGAACATTATCCAGCTTTAATTTACAAGTAAGCCAAGAATGAAACAAGGGAACACAATGCTCTACAGCCAGAGCAGCAAGCAAGGAGCTACCCTCTCTATCACTTAGTGAATATGTAACTCTGAACACATCGTATGCCTCAAGGTAAATTTCTTTATTAATTTACAACTATGTAAAACTGTCCTGACAAACCAAGTGGGATACAAGAGTCTTAATCCTACTCCTAGTCCTACCTCTCATGAGTGTGCACATATTTTTATGAAGCTGAAGAAGCTGTATTAGGTTATAAGCAAGCTTAGCTTTTCTAGCCTCGTGACAGTTTTCACTTAATTCTCCCATTGCAATGCCACAAAGCTACAGATCTACAACTTCCAGAAAAATACAATTCTATCATGTAACTATGTTAAACTTCTGTGAAATGTAGTTACAAACAAGTTCAGGTTCAAAATCTCACAAGGTTCTGCAAGCTACACTTGCCACTGAGAGTTGTCTCTGTTCATGCCAAGCTCTGAAGCAACACCATGTTTTTGCCTTGTGAGCTGTGACTTTCTGCACTCCACTCTCCTTTTCAGCTCTTCAAACACCAGAGCTCTTCAAGTACCTCTCTCTTCGATCAAATAAGAGCTTCTGAGGAATTCTTCTTTTGATGCTGCAAAACAACTTTTTGACCCATCTTTCTGAATACACTCTTTCCAATTCTGAACCCTAAATCCTTCCTTCATCCACATATTTTAACTTATTATTGTGATTATTGTGAAAAACTCCAAGGAGAGATTTGGCATTTTTCTTTTAATAAACCCCTTTGCACTGATTTAATGATAGAATTAATTTCTGTCTGCATTAGCACATCCTTAGGGTTAAAATTCAAAAAGACTGCCAAATCTACACATCTAATTTGATTTATCTTACAGAAAAGGATAAATTGGGAAATTCAGAGATTTTGTCACATTCCCATAGACACCCACAACCACTCCTACAATGAATGTATTTCGTAGGTGTGAAAGAGAAGGCTTTGAAACTTAGTCGAAGTTATACAGACCACAGTTTATTTAAAAACCATATAAACAAAAAATCAAAGGCAAAAAGACCAAAACATTTCATAGAATTTGTTAGGATCACATTCATGAATCCATAACGTTATCAAAATGAGGTACCACTTAAGCCATGGTAGGTTTAAATGTTGCAGTAAGTATAAAAAATATGGGGAAACTCTACTTGCCATTAAATTAACCAGCAGTTACAAGTGTGCTGTAAAAGGAAGCCCATACATTACACTTATTTGTTTCAAGCACTTTTCATACTCATTGTTGAGTTTCAGACATTCCTGTACAGCATGCTTTAGAACTTCTACCTCTTCAAAAAATTCCTAGAAAAACCCAGAAATATTCACCTTAAACTTTCTTTCAAAGACATTCTCAATAAGAGCCAGTCAGCATTTCAGTTCCTCAAAAGTTCAAAGACACCCTCTATATTTTTTTAACATATGGTTGAGTTATGCAAACACAGCTGTGGTGAAATACAGCCACCAACTATAACCTCAGTTAATAATGTAAAACTCTGCCCTGAACACACAATGCAAGCAGAATGCAAGTTATGTTAGAACCTGGAGTACAGACTAATAGTAGGAAAGACTAATTAAAAAAAAAAAAAAAAGGGGAAAAAATGTTGACTTATCAGGCAGCTACAAAAGGACAGTCCAGAATGACAAGGGAATAATGTCACACTCCTCTGTGCAAAAATACAACTACACCTCTCAAAGTCAGACAGTAGCAGAGAGCACACCGTTAACTTCAAGAATCCAAAAGCTGCAAGGCTATGAAAAGGGACAAATGAGCAAGGAGAGAGACAAGGAGAGTATACTAAGGAATAAGAAGTTAGCATTTGAAGAAGACAATACTAAAAAGCTTAAGATGGAAAAAAGGATACCATATTTAGACCTAGAAAGATGTAAAATCTTGTTAGGCCTTAACTGCTTTGTAAATGTCTTCATAGGAGAGGCACTCCAGCTTATTTAGTGTCAGGCTGTGTGCTTTCACTTTCTCATATTGATCCTTTTGCAATTATACTATCCCAGAATGGATGACTTAGAAGGTAGCTCTAGTTAGACAATTCAAATAGGAGACAAACCCAGATTCATAGAAATAATCTTCGTATATGGAACAGTGTTTTGTTCAGCTCCTGCAACTCAAGTCTATTGAGCAATTCTGATCCTTTGTAAGTGAAGTAAGAAATTGCTGGGAAATACGTGGACAGAAAGTGGAGTGTAATCACACAAGTGTCTTCATTTCACCAACCTTGGAAAGCCCTATCTACCAAAGTAACAATGTGTCTACCTATATCCATCTGTATTTGACATTTTCTCCTGCCTATTCTTCTTTTTTTTAATGAACAGCTACATACATCTTAAAATAATGTACAGTGACTTAAAACTACCTAAAAAAAGGGTCCCTGATAAAAAGTCATGACCTCAGATTTACATATCTCTATTCTGGAAGATGAAGCTTTTAGCCACAAGTTGTCCCTAACTCCCAAACACGGGGATCTAGAATTCCCCCTGGCTCAGTGTTCTACCAGTTTCATATCCAATGAACTATCATCATCTTTTACTGCTATCTCTGTAGTGAAAGTTATTTAGCTTGTCAGAAAGGACTACAAAGTAAGAAAACAGATTAAAAAAAACCAAAAAAAATCCAATACAAAACCCGAGGAATAAGGAAAAAACAGTTTAAACAAGTCTGTTGCTGAAAATAAAATCTTATGCAAGTACATTAAACAGAGCCCTCTATAGCTAGGTAAGATCTCTTCATCTTCTTACATTATTTCAAGAATGACCAAATTTTCACACTTTCAGCTTCTACACCTATTGATCTATCACAAAAACTTCAAAGACTCTGCCCTGCCCAAGCTTGGAGTTCTGCCAGAGGCATAACTTTGATATGTTCAAGTTCAGGAGAAAACAGCTTTCCTTTCACTGACATCACGAAGCAATAAAAGTGATCAGTCAAAAACCTATTTTTATTCTCTCTGCAAGTACCTGTTGGAAGAAATTAAGACTGTACCAGCAGTTACAATTTTAATGTCAAAACGACCTGAGGCAAATAATCTCTCATAAAGGAATTCAAATAGCCCAAACATAAAAAAAAAAAAAAATTCCACAGCTATGGATTAAAACCAGAAATAAAGCCAAAACCATAAAATTAAATTTGCATTATTCTTCTTCCCTAGCCAAGCAGCACTGTAGGACATGAATGTTTCAAGGAACCATTCACTTCCATCTCTCTCAGAACGCTCTACACTTTTTTTATGTATTTTGCTTGATAACAACATGTGTTCGGCCTAAAGATGTTTTGGTTCAGGCAGAAAAGTTAGTTTTTTCAAAAATCACCTACTGTTAAACTTGTCTTACAATAAATTACCTTGTCTAATCCAGCTAACTCCTTTTTTAGTGCTTTCTTTTCTGCAGACAACTTTCCATTTTCTTTCTTCAGCTTTTTAATCTCCTTCAACAATAGCTCTATATTCAAATAAAAAAATGTAGACTTCAACCAATACAGTCAACCTCCCACTCATATGAATCATATGACATCTAAAGAGCTACCTACCTTTTGTGATAATAGAAAATTAAAGTACCTTTTTCATAAAGTGATTTATTCCTAAGAATTGGCCGAGAACATGCCCAAGTACTATGACAGATAGCAGGATTTGCCAGTTGGACAACACGAATTTGCCAGATTCTTAGAATGGGGGATTATTTTACTTTAAAATCCACAAAACATACATCACATGCTTCGATTACCTTTTTCTGACTTACGAGAGGGTCACATTAGCCCTTGCTGACAGCACATTTCCTGAAAATTATGCCTACATTATAAAGTCTCTTCCACCTCTTTTCTACGCTTTGAAGTGGAACAGGGTTGCACCTTAACTTGTGGATTTACTTGTGAGGAAGAACATGCTGAAATCACTATTACCTAGGTTTGTCCAAGATTTTAGGGCTAAACCCTAAAATCTTTTGTATATCAGTGTCTGAAAATCAAAGAATGGTGCAGCAAACATTATTACTAAGAGATCTGCATAGATACATCTTACCAGAGTTAAGAATAAATAGCTCTAAATACAGCCACTCACTCCTACCCATGATTATATCAACCTACCAATTCCAGAAAAAGAAAACAGCAAACATTTAATCACAAACAAATGCAAGACTGAATCCTAGACTACAAGATGCCATTTTTACATAACAGGTTTTCAAAAATTTAAAAATATTTTAGATAATGTTGGTTGAAGAATGGCCTCTAGGTCAGAAATGAAATGCATTCTCTCTGATGGGCATACTGGAAGGAACATCATCGGAATTAATGGCCCCATTACCTAAATATTTACTGCAACAGGATTCCTTCTCTTCAGAAATGTCCCTGTGGGAAGTTATTCCTCCCTCTGAGGTTCGACTTCTTTCTCCAGAAACACCACTAGTTTTCCAAGAAACCTTTTTACATTCCAGTTGCTCAATTCTTTGCCTCTGCTCTTGAAGATTATGCTCTAGCTCATGAATTTTAATCTGTTGAGAAAAATTTTTTAAAATGCATAGAAAAAACACAGTTCAACTGAATACCACTGGAAACACATCCTGAATGCAAACCTGGAGTTTTCATTTGCTGACTTAAAACTACACTCATCCAAAGGGTCTGAAAGCAGAAAAAAGAAAAAGCTTCACAGCAAGTGAAGCTCTGCATACATCAAGTGTTTTAAAAAAATCTGTGAGCACATGCTCGCAAGACAATCAAGGAACCACACAAGGGTTTGGGTTGGAAGGAACCTTAAAGACCATCTTGTTCCAAACTCCCTGCCATGGGCAGAGACCCCTTCCACCAGACCAGGTAGCTCAAAGCCCCACCCAAAATGGCCTTGAACACTTCCAAGGGTGGGGCATCCACAACTTCTCTGGGCAACCTGTTACAGAAAACTATAAATGCACTATAAAACCTTCCCTCACAGCAAAGCACACCTTCATGGCAGCAATTCCCAACTTCTAAGAAAAAGTACATATAATCCAAATTATAATGAATTCACAAACAAATAAAGCACAGATGAGGAAATGAGACTGGTCAACCACAATGCTTGATCAATTGCCCAAAGAGGCAATACCCACTTGAACCACTACAACCACTACAACCATGCCTGGTCACACAACCCTACCCTCACTTCAGTTATGATGTTAGTCTCTTTGCACAGCAAGCCCACAGGTCTTGCTACCTGAAAGAAGACTATTTGCCTCCATTTGGTTTGCTACTGCTGAATTTCTGAAATAAATCAGCTCTTGACACACACAGAAAAATATCAGAGCTGGTGCAAGACAGGTCAAAAGATGTAAATACAGTTAGAAGGACGGGTAGGGTAGGTGAGTACAGAAAAAAGCAAGGAAAGAGGAGACAGCTTTCTATTACAGACATACCAGTGACAAAAGTTCATTTTCAAAGGAAACTACAGGCTACTCCCTATTATCTCAATATCATGAGAAACAAAAGTAAGTATACCAAGAAAAGCATGATCTCATTTCACAAATATAAGAAACATTTTTCAGTCTCCCTAAAAGCTTATGCTTGGCTATTTGATACCACCTTCTACAAATTCTACTTACAGTGAGATTTTTAATTGCTTCACTTTGCTCCTTGTTTTTTTTGCTTTCTCTAACGTAACGTTTCTGTAGCTCATTATACATACGAAGCAGTCTAAAACAGAAGAAATGCATAAATTGCAGTAAAACACGAAAGCCAAAAAACATGCATCCTTTATGGCAAAAGCATTAGAGACACCCCACAGAGATCACTTAGGCTGTAGCTGCACTGCAGAGACTTCTAACAGAAATACTTAAGATGGGCATGAATGAAGTGTGACTGTCAACAGGGAAAGAGAAAGCACCAGAAAATAATAGCAAAGCAAGTTAGAAGAATGGTCTGTATGGATGGCAAAGAATCCCCTTCACTCAGCCAGACTGAAGACCCTGTTGTGTCCAGCACAGACGGCCACACTCTGATTAAACCTCAGTGAAAATCACCATTTGATGCAAGACCTATACACCAGAAACAGGAGGGTGGCAATGACTGCAGTGTGTCACATACATAATTCCTCTCCCTGTTAGCACAACAGGAATAGCACAAGGACACTCCTAAAGGGTTTTAAAACATTTGTCCAGAAACTAATTTCTTGCCACCAATCTAGAACCTATAAGGAGGACACATGAGGCAGAGTGCCCAGCTCTCCGTGTTGCACAAAATACCTCATTGCTTCCAAGTATGTAGCTGTGAGGATATGAGTGAGTGAAATCTATGAGAAAACGGGTGAGTGAGCAAAATCATCGTAAAATAAATAGATTTGGGATGTTATCGTTCTCTTTGATATCATCTTGCATAGATTTCTGCTACACTAATTTCCTGCCATATTATATAGCATTCAGTCTCCACATATGGGGGCCAGAACATAACTGATGACATTTTTCCTATTTTTTTAATAATTCAGATTAGAGCTGGCATTCATACAAAGTCATGGCTGCGCACTACAAACAGGGTGAGCAACACTGTAGTACAGCATAGCTTTGTAAAACAACATACAAACACATGCTAGGAAAAAAAGGTAGGTCAGATTAACTGCATCCTAATATAGAGCAGGTCTAGCACTTTTGATTCAAAGACTAACTTGGACTTCTTCCCCATAAGCATCTAACTGGGTACTCAATTCCCAGCCAGAGCCAGTCACCCAGCCTTCCTATGTGGTTTCCAAAGAGAGTTTGGTACACTGAAAAGGTATTTAACAAAACAAAACAAAACAAAACAAAACAAAACCACACACAAAAAAACCCAAAACAAAACAAAATTTTAAAAGGGCCTTCTACAGACACCTAAAGGCATTAATAAAAATAGGGTGCGTGGCAAAAAAGCAGTAGGGACTGCCTCAATCTGTGTAAGATCCACAGCCCCTTTATGTAAGTGAACAAAAAGTAGCCTTAGAAGAGATGGAGCAGCCTGTTTATTTTACAGTCAAGTCACATAAGGATGGAACAACGTTTTATGTCGCTTGCCTAGTTGTTAAAATGTTTCAATGTATATTTTATCAAATTAAAAAATTTATCTTTTGCATCACAAAAGCAGTTACACGGGTTTAATTCTCGCATTAATTGGCAAACTGCAATAAGTAGTGGCTCAACATTAAAAATAATTAGACTGAAGAGCAGAATCACTTCTCTGGCTTATTTTGAAAACACTACCAGCCTATAAATTTTATATACACATAAAACTGAGCTATACAAAATGAGCTGAGAAAGCTTCCACAAAATAGAAGGTGGTTAAAAGAATCTGTGAAATCTTTAAAAAAATCAACATACACATAAAGGAGCTTCCTGGCTCGTTTAATTTTTCTCAGTTGAAGATTTGAGAAAGAAATCCATTTTGTTCTTTCTTTAGTGCTATTTTCAAGTTTTAGATAAAGTTTTTGTAAATCCTTTTAAAATGCAAATGATTTTCCATTGCTTCAAAGGCTGAAAGCCAACTCCTCTCCGTAAGCTAAAAATTTCACTGAGTTAACCATGAACAACATATTCTAACCTACAGAGAAGAACATTTACCACTGTGAAGAAGCAACTTCCAAGAACTCACCTGACACTGTCACCCTCTAGAACAAAATCCTTGCTGTCTCCACCCTTATGCCATAAATGGGTTTCTGTTTGAACCTGAACACTTAATTGAAAGAGAAGCAACAGCTTAACAAAAATGGATTTTACAGTTCAATTGGATCAAACAAAACAACTGAAAAAGTCCAAGTTACTTTTCAGTTTGATCTTACAGTATAGGTTTCCACACAGGATCATAAACACACCAAGAGTTAAACTTGGAGGATTTTTGCAGACCAGTACTTAAGTCCTGGCAGGGCACTTTGCAAACCACTGGCACTACAATTTTCCAGGTCCCAAGATCTCAGTTTCTAAACCTTTTAAATAGCATTTATGCAATTTAACTACCTTACTACTGTTTGGTGGAAAAGTAAATGCGTAAGTCTTTGCAGTTAGACAGAGAGCACATTGGCTAAGCAGGTGTATTACTTGTTGATAGTAAAACTGGTTTTTTTCACTACAATAATGAATTTGTTACAAGTTCCCCCAGAGAGCCTTTGTTCCTTGACATGCCTCAAGCATCTTCTACCTCCACCATCCTGGTCACAGATGGCCCCTCAAAATATGCAGACTAGATAAGGCCTAGTTCATCTGAAAACATGAAGGTAAAAGTCCTGAAATGTTGCTCTTCTTCTGATGCAAAAAGAAACACTTGACACTTCTTACTCTCTGCTTGTGCCATAGTCATGCATTAACTGCTGCAGATGCAGTTTTTCTTGGATCTGACCCAGATTCTTTTCTAGCTCCTTATTTTTTATGTGTAGTTTTTTCACCTTCTTGACTAACTGTTCATTTTCATCACCGAGCTGAAAAGGAAGAGAATTTGAAAAAAAAAAAAAAAAGAAAAATCAAGGAACATTTTTAGATCAGGTATTAAGTAGGCTGATAACATTAAAATTCTCTTCCAAAAACTCCACTACATTTATCTTAAACTATACATATAAAGGAAAACATATAAAGGAAAAGAAAAACAGCAGGAAAAACAATCAGCTTCAAATTTTATGAAAATTCGACTAAAACAAAGCTTCCTTAACATGCATATTATAAGTTTCTAATATAAGTTCGTCACTCATTACGGAATGTAGGGAACTGGCTTTGTATTTAAAATTAATCACAAAGAGACAAGACATCGGAGTTTTCAGTTACAGTGCTAAACCACAAGCATCAGCTCCACAACTGAGCTCGTGTTTATGTTATTACCAGAGCCGAAGGACTAAGCTACAGCTGTACCAGTAGAACTTCTTGTGTGCACAGCTGCTGAAACTCACCCAGCAGTATGCACTCATACAGACAATATACACAGAAATATATATTACATATAGCAATAACCAATATATAAATATATTACTTATCGCTATATTACATGTAGTAATACGTATTACTATATTACATATAAAAATATAGAGTATGTATAGCATGTATTATTGCATAGGATAAAATAGCATATAATTAAATATAATTATATAGTTAAATATAATTATATCGAATATATGAGGCAATATATACTATAATACCGTTGTATATTAATATATTATACTTAAATATATACAGTATATATTAATATAATACTAAAATATATATAGTGTAGATATATTAGTATGTGTGTAGATATAGATGTAAACTGTAACCCTATTGCCTTAACCCGGAGGGAATTAAGTAAAAGAGATGCTATGTGCCAGCAGAAGGAAGAGCAGAAGGCACCGAGACCCCGCGTTCCGCCCTAAGCCTGAGCTCTGCCCCCAGGGGCAAACCCGGCCGCTCCCGGCGCCCTGCCCGGGACGGGACGGACGGGACAGGACAGAACGGGACAGGAGGGGCCTCCGCGGAGCCGGGCCGGCACCGCCGAGGGCCACACTCACTTGGAGGCACCTGTGGACGGCGGGCAGGGCCATGGGAAGCGCCGGGAAGGCCGAGACAGCGGGCGGGACAGGCCGGGATGGCCCGCCCGGATGTGGTGAGGGCACGGCACGTCATAGCCGAGCGACCGGCAGGGCTGAGGGCACACACAGCGCCATCCCTGCTGCCCGGCAAACCGGGCACACACAGCGCCATCCCTGCTGCCCGGCAAACCGGGCACACACAGCGCCATCCCTGCTGCCCGGCAAACCGGGCACACACAGCGCCATCCCTGCTGCCCGGCAAACCGGGCACACTCACAGCGCCATCCCTGCTGCCCGGCAAACCGGGCACACACAGCGCCATCCCTGCTGCCCGGGCAGCCAGGCACACACAGCGCCATCCCTGCTGCCCGGCAAACCGGGCACACACAGCGCCATCCCTGCTGCCCGGGCAGCCGGGCACACACAGCGCCATCCCTGCTTCCTGGGCAGCCGGGCACACACAGCGCAATCCCTGCTACCCGGCAAACCGGGCACAAACAGCGCCATCCCTGCTGCCCGGGCAGCCGGGCACACACACAGCGCCATCCCTGCTGCCCGGGCAGCCGGGCACACACAGCGCCATCCCTGCTGCCCGGGAAACCGGGCACACACAGCGCCATCCCTGCTGCCCGGCAAACCGGGCACACACAGCGCCATCCCTGCTTCCCGGCAAACCGGGCACACACAGCGCCATCCCTGCTGCCCGGGCAAACCGGGCACACACAGCGCCATCCCTGCTGCCTGGGCAGCCGGGCACACAGAGCGCCATCCCTGCTGCCCGGGCAACCGGGCACACACAGCGCCATCCCTGCTGCCCGGGCAGCCGGGCACACACAGCGCCATCCCTGCCGCCCGGCAAACCGGGCACACACAGCGCCATCCCTGCTGCCCGGGCAGCCGGGCACACACAGCGCCATGCCTGCTGCCCGGGCAGCCGGGCACACACAGCGCCATCCCTGCTGCCCGGCAAACCGGGCACACACAGCGCTATCCCTGCCGCCCGGCAAACCGGGCACACACAGCGCCATCCCTGCTGCCCGGCAAACCGGGCACACACAGCGCCATCCCTCCTGCCCGGGAAACCGCGCCCGACTGGGTTCCCTTCCTCCAGGGAGGCGCAGCTCTCCCGCCCGGCCAGCACCGGGATTCCGGGAGCAGCTGTGATCCTTTGCCTCTAAAGGAGCCGCCCTGAAAACACCGCAGTCTCCGCTTGTCGCTTATAAATTGTCACCAGGTTTCACTCTGGGGGATTTCTGGGGCGTCCTGCGCAGGGCCAGGAGGTGGTTTCGGTGATCCTGAGGGTCCCTTCCAACTCAGCAGATTCTGTGATGCTGTGACTCTCTGTGACTAACAGGTACCGGGTGGGTGGCACTGAGAACGCTGCCGACCACGGCTCTGCACGGATATATTTGTACACCAACACGCACCAAGTGATGTATCTCTGCAAAAGCAGGTTCTGCATCTCCCGCCCGCCATCACAACAGGTACAGGCTGTCCCAGTAACATCCAGTGAGGCGGCAGAAAAGGGAGTGCCTGGTAAAGCTGCTAACCCAACGAGGTGCAGGGCTGTATCCTTGGTGTTTTGTGGTACTTGCTATTGCTACTGTTTGCCTTTGTGTATAAATATTTAAAGGGGAGTGCCAAGAGGATGGAGCCAGGCTCCTCTCGGTGCTGCCAAGGACAAGAGGCAACAGGCAGAAATTGGTGGAAGTTCCATCTGAATTTGAGGAAAAACTTCTTTACTGTGCAAGTGACCTCACACTGGAACAGACTACCTAGAGAGGTTGTGCAGTCTCCCTCACTGGAGATATTTAAGAACTGTCTGGACACAATCCTGTACCACGTGCTCTAGGATGACCATGCTTGAGCAGGGAGGTTGGACCAGATGACCCACTGTGGTCCCTTCCAACCTGACCCATTCTGTGATTTGGTTTTATATTTTGCTGTTATTTTTGGCAAACTGGATTAGAGGGCATACAGGCAGAATGAAAGCATTCCACTCTCATGACAGACTGGACCTTACAGACACCATATCAACAGCAAACACTCACCAGCCACGAGAAGTTTATCCATTCCAGCAGGATTGACCCAAAGCAGTGATTACTGCCTGCTGGTCTCCCTAGCTTTTGCTAATGGCACTCTAAAACCTTTCCTGTTCCTCTCTCATTTGCTAGGTCTCAAATCTAAGTCTTCATTTGTTCTGTGCATCTCCTGTCTTTGTACAAAATGTTGCCTCTCTCGTTTCTTAAAGTACATCTCATGTTCCCATCTTTTTCTCTTGTTTGGTGTAAAATGTTGCCAGATGCCACCCACCCCTTCATCTTGACCATGTAACCCACCTGACTGTAGAGCCTGGCAAATCTTGCAAAGACTCATAGGTTCATAAAGATCATCTAGTCACAACCTCCCCCTGCCATGGGCAGGGACATCTCCCACTAGATCAGGTTGCTAAAGGCCTTATCCAGCCTGGTCTTGAACATTGCCAGGGTTGGGGCATCCACTACTTCTCTGGGCAACCTGTTCCAGCACCTCACCACCCTCACAGTAAAGAATTTCTTCCATATATATAACCTAAATTTTCTCTCTTTCAGTTGCCCTATCACTACAGCTCCTGACCCTCTCTGGCTTCCTATCTGTGGGCCCCCTTCAGATATTGGAAGGTTGATGTGAGGTCTCCATGCAACCTTTTCGTCTCCAGGCTGAACAGCCCCAACTTTCTCAGCCTGTCATGCCAGGGAAGAGAGTGGGGAGATGACAGCAGCTCAGCACTGCCTACCTGTGAGTCTACGGTTTACCGAAAACATGGCACAAGACAGGTCACATTAGGCTGTGAGTGGAAACTGTAATCAGATTAAGGGAGGTGGCACACAGCTTTGGCTCCAGGGCACAACCCCAGCATCTCTCCTCCTCTGCTCTCAACCCAGTCGCCCATCTGTTGAACTTCTTGAACTTCACACAGGGGTCACAGCAAAAGGTAAAAGCCTTGTCTATATTCAGCTCAGCCTTCACTGTGCTGAGCTGAATGGATGCAAGATCCAAGCTCTGAGGCTGTCGGCAACCTGGAAGTGCATGTGAGGGAAGGACGTGCCCATGGTGTTAACTGCTGCCAGGAACCCTGTTTGTGAAGATTCCTGAGTTGGTTCCACAGTTGCAGAAGTAGCCACCCAACACTGCTAATTCTTGGGGCCCGTGGCAAGTAACCTTGCCCCCAGATAGCTGGGCATCAAAGTTGCTACTTCAATCAGCAATTAACATTGAATGAATTAGCAACTTGCAGTTCATACTGTGGAAACCAGGAAGTCACTTCTTGATACAGCTGGATACAGCTACTAGCCACAGTAGCAGTAAGAGAAAATAAAACTGGATGGGATAGGACCAGCCAGCAATTGGAATGGTGCTGCAGAGAAAGGGAAGTTCCATTTTCAGGTGGAGTAGCAATACCCTGAGATGCAATTACTCAGTCCTATTCTGGTTTATCCAGCACAAACAAGATCTCAGGTGAGGAGTCTATAAAACAGGAATGAAAGTTACATACAGAAGAAAATACAGCATATTATATACAGAGGGGTTGAAATAAGAATCATTTTAACTGAGTTTATCTTTGGTTACTGTAAAGGACCATAGTAATTGTTTCCTGTGCACTGTAGAGGAGAATAAGCAGAAATAAAGTTACTTTCCAACAGAGATAAGTTCAACTGGATGAGAGGGGAAATTTTCTTGCTATCAAAGAAAAAAATACACATAGTTCTCCCTCACTAGATATTTTAATAAACACATCAGAAAGTGACCAGGCATTACTTTGAATACAGGTGTACCTAATATGCACAGCACAGTGGCATACAGCAAGTACACAGACCGTTTTAAAGGCCCTTTTTGGCCAACATTTCAATGATTCTATGTTGCTGAATTAGAAGAAAATGCGCTCTTGATATAGTAGTGATTCTGGTATTTTGCAAAACTTTTTAAATGACTACTTCAGAAATAATTTTTCCAGTGACAAAGGGAAGATGTTGTGTAAGATGGTGAGGTGGAGAATGATCAGCACGGTGGAATCGAGCACATCCTACATGCCAGTATCTCACTGTAGACAGTAAGAGTAGGATAACAGTTTTTTCCTCAATATTGGGAATGTCGGTAATCATAATCACTTCATACCTTACAAGGCAAGACCATTTGTATATCAAGGAGTAGTATTGTACAAAGCATGTTCAAGGCTTTCTAGGACTTACATTCCTATGGTACCCCAGAATTTGGTTTTGGTTTGTGGTTGGCTGCAATTTTTCAGTACTGTGGATGTAGCAGTAAAAGAAAAAAGCCCAGACAGATTAATTCAGGGCTTCTGCAGAAACTAGAGTGGTCATGGAGAGGGCGGAACTCAGAGAACAACCTTTACAGGTCAGAAGTAGCAGAGAAAACAAGCCCACACTATGTCTTGGGTCATTTGAAAGTCTGAGGGAGTTGGGCCTGTTCAGCCTCAATAAGGGATGACAGAGGGGGGACCTTATTAATGTGTATAAATATCTAAAGGGAGAAGGTGCCAAGAAGATGAAGCCAGGCTCTTCTCAGTGCTGCCAAGCAATAGGACAAGAGGCAACAGGCAGAAACTGCTGCTCAGGAAGTTCCACCTGAACTTGAGGAAGAACTTCTTTACTGTGCAGGTGACCATGTACTGGAACAGAGGCCAGAGGGGTTGTGGAGTCTCCTTCATGGAGATATTTAAGAACTGTCTGGACACAATCCTGTGCCATGTGCTCTAGGATGACCCTGCTTGAGCAAGGAGGTTGGACCAGATGACCCACTGTGGTCCCTTCCAACCTGACCCATTCTGTGATTCTCATGTGAAATCTGCAGACCCTTTTTCTCTAGTTCTTCTGCAAACACAACAACTAGATCTGGGCACATTGCCTCTCCCCTGCTTACCCAGGAGTTGACAGTGCAGCAGTTATGCACAGGTATTTAGACCCAAAACTTTTCAAAACTCAAAAAATTGTTACCAGTGGAACATCTGAATTCTACAGGCTGGAAAAACGACACACAGGAAACTTGGGAAATGTGCCAACAGAGCTAAAAGGGAAACAAGAATTCCTGATTTCTGACCTAGAAACTGAGCTGTGCAGCCCCTTTCTATCCTGCTTTTCCATGGCTGGCAGGGGAATTGAAGATAAACAGAGGAAGCAGACAACAGCCAGGTTTCTCAGCTATGCAGCTAGACCTGCAAGGAGTTTGTGTGAGATCCAGATTTTGTCAAGCAAACACAATGACACAAAAAAACCCCTCTCCTTGTATCTTGAAGCTCTTGAGAAAAGCTACAGCTGAAACACTTGCTGGTTTAATCATGCACGTTATGATCAAACATTTTCAAAAGTGTTCATTGATTTTGAGTGGCTCCACTTCAAAACTGCATCCACTCTTCCAAATTAAAGATACTCGATGGCCCCAGGCTTGTGGGTAGCACTGGACATCAGATTTTGAAGCATCCAAATATCAAAAGAGAATGTCATCCTACCTGTATACAAAAAAACCCCATAGTTTATACAAATTATAAAAGACTATTTTGTACTTGATTGGGAAACAAGTCAATTTTCCAAAGACCCTAACACTACATGACTTTCAAAAAAACTTCTCTGTGGCAGTGAGTGTACGAAAAGCCACTAAGATACTTTCCACTGTAAACAATTACAGCAGAAATGTTTCCCTCAACTACTATTCAGCTGGTTTGTTGAACACATTCCTTTTTCCTCGCATTTTTGTTTCTAACGTAGTTCGGTATGAACAAAGACACATTTCAGGCTGGCTCACATGAATGAAAATATCGTTGATTCCAGAGGTGCTGAGCCTGCTACTTGCTGCCAAACAGCAGGAATGTGACCCATAGCACTGTTTTTCAGCTACATGTGCGCCAAAATCATTGATTTGTCAGAAAATGTATAAGCATGAGATTACCTGATGCAACCGTCCTATAACTCCAAGTGTAGCCTTTTTTTTCCACACAGATTAAAAGTCAGTGTGTCCTTTCAGCCCTCAGAGAGACCTACTATCCTCATCAGGTTTTGCAGGAATTAAAATTCTCCCGTGAAAATCTACGGCCTTTGTAAAAACTTACACAAATTTCACCTGCCCCAAATTATTCTCTTCTCTTTCATCCAAAACAGCTGTGCCAGCAACGACTCCCGACTCCCTTTCAGGCTGGAAGATGGCAAGGCTTATGTGGGTTTTCTGCCCAATATGTTCTTTGGCACAATCAGTGCTGCCAATCTCACAGGCAAATGCCAGCTCAAAAATCACAGAACAACCTTGAGAAAAATGGCCAACATGGGAAAAAGGCCCTTTTCCCATATTGTTTTGATCTTTGATCACAAAGTAATAATCCCATTTGTCTTCAGGAGCCTTACCTGAAATAGGGAGAAGCAGTCTGCCTTTCCTGGGCTTTGTCACAGCCACAGAGGGCAGGTAAATACACAAGTTCAGAATTCAGTTCAGAACATGAACATTTCCTGCATATCATGAGGAAAACCACCAAGACATGACTGGATTTAAGATGACTGTGCAGAACTGGAAAAAGAAAATATTTTAATATGTGATGAAATCAGTTTAACATCTGATAAAACCAAACAGAGGTAACATTTATTAAACCAAATTAGGCTAATGAGGATCCCTGTCAGAGCTCATTGACAGAAGTCCTGTATCCCCTTCAGTGACAGAAACATCAGATTATAACAGTGGGTTGTTTTCAGTGGATAATGTTCAATGTTTTCAGTGGATAATGTTCAAAAAATAATACTGGCATGCATGTGGCAGAGACAGTCTGCTGCTTGTCCCTTCAAGGCCAGGGAAAAATACCTTATTATTCTGCACTCATGGACATGGTCTAGGAAAAAGAGTAACAGCTTAGGACTGCATTACCTTGTCCACAGAACTCCCTACAGAGAAGAAAAACATCTCTTGATGTAGAATCAAAGGCACTTGCACCCCAGGAAAGCTCTCTCAGCCATACCTCCTGGAAAGGAAAATTTCCCAGCACGACAGAGCCCGTCTGAAAACTCCAGAAAACACTGAAGGATGCCATTTTACCAGTAGACCTGTCTGTCAGACCTTGAAGCAAAATAAAAAAAATCTCAATTTCCATGTTAGCCAGCCCCCAGGGTCCATCTGAAGGTAGAGTCCTGCACTTCATGTTTGAGACTGTTGGTTAGTTTGTGGCAGGTGGGAAAACGTGGACAGTGTCTAAGCAGTGATTCCTGGGCCTTCTGGACATAGAGGAGAAAGATGGTCAGAATGACTCTGCATGGCAGAAAGGGAACACGTAAAACATCTAATACACCATCTAGAACGGTGCATTAATCAAGCATTATATCATACATGACTTGTTAGCGAGCATTGGGGAAAACTGTGCCAGGGCTAGGAATTTCTGATTGTCTCTGATGGAGCAGAAGTGGGATCAGCAGAGCTCTTCTAGAGGGTAAAGAAGAGAAAGCATCTACTTACTATCTGCCTTCCCTTCTTGTAGGCAAAACAAAAATCTGGACCAAGCATCCTCTTTTATCAGCTGTAAAATCTCTCACTGCAACATGACGATTGCACTGAACTATAACATCATAGCAGTTTACACAAACAAAAAGCCTCTCATCTGGGCTACCTCTTAAAGGCAGGCTCAAACTATATGCTTTGTGAGATTCCTGATAAAAGCTCCAGGGAAAAGGGCTAGAGACAGTAAACAACAATTTTATATGACTAATCCAATATAATCCTATGCTGGGTAAAAAAGCCATCTGCATGGATTCCCACTGAAGTGCTTTAATAACAGCGCAGCAAGCCTCCGGCTGTCATGCTGAGGAAACGCTCTTTCGCACTCAGGCTAATAATTCCAAAAGATTACTTCCTTTTTGTTTTGTTTTTTTTCCCCCCTCTGTTTTTATTAAAGCCGTTAGACGCTTGTTGTCCCATTTAATTCCCTATTGGGAGATCATCCATCAAACCCGTGAAGTGACAAAGATCCGCGCTGGAGGCCATCTGAGGATTCCACGTTGATGGCCAGTCAGCTACGGAGAGGTCGCTCTCTCTCTGCAAAACTACAGCCTATTTTATTGCATCACTGCAGCCTGCAATTACTGTCCAAGAAGAGAACAGCAAGCTGTCTGCTGAGGCGGAATTAAACCAATTCCAGCTGCAGCAGCTTCCCCCGAGTGACCCTGGTTTTTGCACCACTGTCTGAGCAGACCTCAGCGGGGATCCCTGTGTGGCACACAGAGCAGCCGCGCCAAGGAACGCGGGGCAGCGGTTTGGGGCAGGAAGGGAAGCAGACTACCACCTCCAGCTGAGCCACACCTAAGTCAATTAGGGCTTCACACCCTGGGAGAGAAGGAAATCCACGACTAGTCTCCGTCTTCTGCTCTGAGGTCAGAGGGAAACAGGTTTTCCCCTCCACTGAGCATTCATTGTCTCCGGGAAGGAAGTCCAACATCTACACAAATCTGGCTGGGGCTCAGGAGGATTGAGGCAGACAAAGCACCCAAGAAACACTAGTATTTCAGGTTCATCCAGGATGGGCCTATTCCAAGTGGATGAGATTAAACACGTGGCGTGTGTGTAGGTTATGAGAGGCATGTGAGAGGAACTGGCTCGAGTTTGGGGTTATGAAAGATCAGAGGTTATGAAAGACCTTGGCAGTTATGAAAGACGAGCTCAAAGTCTGATCCAGCAAGGCAGAGAGCAGCCTCAACCTGCTCAGAGGTGAATGGATGTTCAAAATCACCCAGCAGCTCACAGGAGGAAGTTCACACTGCCTGGGCAGGCCTAGGCTAAGGAAGGCTTGAAAAAAAAAACTTCAGAGAAGTAATATATAGAAAGTTGTCACAGACTAGAAGAATGACAAAGAGATATATTGCCATCTGTTTATAGGTCTTACAGGCAGCTCTATCTTTTTGCAAATTTTTTGAAAGGTCTTAAAATACTAGCTGCAGCCACTGTTTTTATAAGAAATTATTCTTTGCTGGCCTTCTCTGTTTTAAATCTTCTACCTGCATAAGCCACATAGCTGCAATGAATCTGTAAAAAACAAGGGTTCATTCAGATATTTCAACCTCTGAAGTTCAGCCTCTGGTGATCGTATTATGAATATTCTACCACCAGAACGAAGAGAAGGTTGGGGAAATTTTACTGGCCAAATGCTTATTTTCCAAATGCCACTCAGGCCCCACTTGGAGAAAGGACGTACTCTTGCTTAGGAAAATATTGAGGAGCGCACTTCCCCACTTTGCAACAGTACTTTGTGGTGATGATTTCTGTAGTTACCTTCCATGAGGATACTTCTGCATCCTGCCTACTGCACTATCATTCACACTGCCCTGCTTTTAAAATGTGCTTTAAACAGACCTTTCAAATGCACCTGTGGCAGCCTAATCACAACAGATCTCCAGGCACTGAGGCAGACCTGAGAGGTATTGGAGGAAACAATCTGTTCTGCATCAGAATGGGACCTAGCCAGTTCAGCAAAAGGTATAGACTGTTTTACTGTTGGTGAATTCAGTAACTAAAACTTTTTCTTTCAAGGAAAAACACACTTTTATTGTGGTCTGAAATGCTTCCTAGAATGTAAAGCCATGGTTAACTGTACATTTTCTAATTTACCAAAGTTAAAGCTGCCTATGCTACATCTCAGCAGTCCACAAACCTCACCAGGAAATACCTTCACCCATCTGCCCCTGCACAGAAACTCTCTAGGCAAGGTCCTGAAGCCACCCGCAGCCATGCTGAGCATGGCAGCAATAAAAAGCACAGACTTCCAAAATCTGGAGGAAACTGAGGCTAAGGAATAATCGAGAGCAGTTCTGTTCTATACTATACTGCATGCTTGTAGGGTTATTGCACGTAAGGAAACTAATCTTACGTAAGGACAAAACAGATACATGTTTGGAGGAAACAACTTGGAATAATTAGTCAGCAAAAAAAATTGACAAACATTTGGTGAGGATTTCTTCAAAATATTTCATCATTTCATATTTCAGCTAAACTTCCAAACTTTGTATATTAGTTAATTCATCTTCTCAGGGTTTGTTACCATTTTTTTTTTCTTTTTCAAAATGGGAACTAAAAATTGTTTCACCAAGTAGACTGACAGCCTTGCTGTCTTTGTGCTATCCACGGCCAGAATAGCACAGTTTAGAAATTTAAAGAATGAAGTTGAATTCTTGTGCTACAATACATGAAGTCCAGTCATTTGGTCTAGAAGGAAAAGGTCCAAATGTTTTATTTTAAAAAGTGTCTATTATTTTTGTCAACTACATATGGCAGGAGTGTCCCTCTCATCCCAAAGTCATCTGTGTCCTACAAGATAAATAATACAAGAAAATAGATCTAGACTTAGGGTCCATTACGTTAGATATAATGCCCCAGTCAATTTAATTTAGCCTAGACTCTAGAAAAATAATTAAATAATTAAAGTAAGTAGTGGTGTTATGCAGTTTTGTTCATGCAAATGTGTTCACCACTAAGGCATATCTATTCTAGCCCTGAAAATGAAACCCTCGACCACAAAGCAGGTGCTGAAAGACAACAGCAGGTTTCATACATTCGATGTACTTAATGCATCTTTCAAAAAGTTATGCTGATGGACCCTGGACTCTTTTTTTCCCATTCAATGCCAAGTGTGCATCAGAACAAGTCATTTGGAAAAACCTCACTCTGACAGATAAAGTGTGTGTTCCCCAACACTCCCTCGGTGTTTTAAAGTACTACAGGCTGGCTGCTCTATTGCATAAGCCTGTATTCATTGTGGGCTGCCCTCCTTCTCCAAGGCAGATCCAGAACCCCTCAGCTGTCTCTCTCCTACTCTGCCGACCCAAACGCACGGCAATTTGGCTTATGCGGATTCTGGAACTGTGGGTTCTGAATTCTCTTCGTCCTTGATAAATCCAAAACGACACACGAAGCCAAGTGAAAAATCTGAAGGTCAATGTATTTCTCACCACACATTTGAACTCTCAAGCCCTGGCAAGCTGCTGAACTTTAAAACCTGAACTGCTTTTCTACTCCAGGAGTCGCTTTTCCCCACTTCCCCCCTTCACTCCCGAGATGGCCGATGCCAGCCTCCAGCTTTTCCCCCAAAGTCCCGGTAACGCTGACAGCCGGGCCCCTGTTTCCCGGGGTCGCCCTGGGGAGACGGGGGCAGCGATGCGGTGCCCTTCCCGGGAGCGCCGGCGGCTCCTCATCTCTCGCCAACCCGGCGCGCCCCATCGCTCCCCACCGCGGCGGCACCGGCGCCATGTCGGGCGGGGGGGCCGGGGCACGGCGATGGCGGCGCGGCGCATCCTGCTCTCGGCATCCCGCCCTCCGCGGCCCCGCCGCTGCCCCCTGCCGCACCCCCGCCTCCGCCGGCCCCTCCTCCGCCCCCGGGGCTCACCTAGAGTCAGCGCCCAGCAGCCGGCCCGCCTTCCCCATTGAGCGCGGCGGCCGCCTCTCCCGCCCCGCTGCGCTCGGCGGGGCGGTGCCGGGGCGCGCAGTGACAGCGCCGGGCACCCTCCTCGGCGGGCGCTGCTGGGCGGGCAGCCGGGCCCCCCGCGCCCCCCGGCCCCGCTCCGGGCAGCGCAGCCGCCGCGATGAAGCCGTGCGAGGAGGAGGAGGAGGAAGGGCGGGCGGCGGCGGCGGCCGGCGGCGCCGGGGACCCGTGGCAGGAGTGCGCGGAGGTGGCGGTGCAGCTGGCGCGGCGCGCCGGGCAGGTGAGGCGGGCTGGGCACCGCCGGGACGGGCTGCCCCGCCGCGGGGGGAGCCTCCTCCCGCCGCCGCGGGTTAAGGAAGGGCCGTGCGGGCACGGAGCTGGCGCATGGGGAGGAGGACGGCAGGGCTGGGCGCCCGCTCAGCCGGGCCACCGCCGGAGCCCTCGGCCGGTTCCCTCTGCCGCGGGAGGGATGACGGCAGGGGGTCTCCATCCCTTGGGGGGCCCCATCCCTCGGGGGCCCCATCCCCTGGGGGCCCCCGTCCCTCGGGGGGCCCCATCCCTCGGGGGGCCCATGCATCCGGGGGCCCATCCCTAGGGGCCTCCTCCCTTTGGGGCCCCATCCTTCGGGGCCCCAATCCCTTGGGGGGCCCCATCCCTCGGGGGGCCCCATCCTTGGGGGTCACATCCCTCGGGGGGCCCCCATCCCTTGGGGGCCACATCCCTTGGTGCCGCATCCGTCGGGGGCCTCCATCCCTCAGTGCCACTTCCCTCGAAGATCTGTATCCCTCGGGGCCAGCATTTGTTTTTGAGCAGCCTGTGCAGAGGAAAATAATCGTGTCAGTGTGGTTTTGTCTTGTTATATATAGCACCGTGTTCAGAGTGACTGAAATTCACTTGCTAGGGACAAATAAGCTGTGTCTTCGGCAAAGATCTATAGTAGCTTATTTCAGAACCATGTTTTGACACAGCAGAATGTTAGTCACCTGAGGAGACTTTCTAGCCCCATTGTATGCAACAGCAAAAATTTCACCAGGTCTAAGAGATTCAAGAAGTAGAATCAGCAGATTGTTTAGTTGAGGAATTGG